TATTTACACCATGACTTTACTTGGTGGGGCACATTATCATTACTTAATGCTGAACGTAGAATAAATAGACTATATATTAATATGTTAACTAATGATATTAACTAATAGAATGTAATTAAGTATGACACAACACATACAAAATTATACATTCTTTAATATTCTGAGCATGTTTAGTACCTTTTTTTGATATTGGTTATGTGCCTATAATGTGGATAATGTATAAATATGTTAAGCCATAAATATGCTAATTTATCATTACATACCCACTTTTTTCCTGTCGCATCATTATTGATTAAATAAATAAACAAGAATACACATTGTGCAATTTTTCAATCTGAGCTCAGCCCCAAAACAATTTTAAAAATCTGTAATATTGCATTTTGGTACAGATGTTTAACCTGCTGGATGCAACTGATTTTCCTGTGGATGAGTTATTGGCCTATCGTGTTATTATAATTGGTGTTAACCTACATCATCTCCAAACAAACATTATGCATTATAGAAAGGGTTTTAAATAATATATCAAGCCATGGTATTAATTAATAGAAGGAGTTAGAAATATGTTAATACTTAATAATTACCTTTATTAATGACTATTTATATCTGACACACTTCTTTATTAATGTATACACTTCATTATATCCTGATGTTTTAAGTATTAGTCCATGCATCAATTCACTGTGATGAAAGCATTAGTTAAGTATTAATACATGCTTATTTGTGGACCAGTATTGTAAAGTGTTACCGCAGTAATATTGTAATGACCTGCTACTGACAGGCGCTGGCCTCTACACACTTGTGAGAATCATGGGAGGTGTGCGCTCTGCAGAAGAGCGATTATTTGTATGGTTTATGTTGTTGTTCATTAGTTAAACAAATGTGTATGTGTTTGTGCTGTTCTGTATCAGGAAGGCCCAAAGATGGTGTTGGCGGGGGAAGTCTTAAGGTCGGAGGCAGCATAGCACGCCAGCAAGGGGGAGGCTGCCAAAAGTAAAACATCGAAAGCTTCAGTGTGGGAGCACCGCACCGTGCAGCAGAGCGGTTGGGGAGTCGCCATTGTATAGATAGAGGACACTGTGCTGGGCAGTGGCATAAGGCTGGCTCAGCGGATAGGCTGATGCGGGCTAGGAGGTTCAGCAGCAGCCATGGGCTGTGGGTCATGTGCAGCATGGACGACAGATGGCTGATCACACTAGCCATCACAGGCTCATCAATATCCCCACTATGACCAGTCATGCTCACGCACACTGAGATAGGCACATCAAGCAGCCTGAAGGTGACCATTGTCCAGCTTAGCTCAGTCACCAACAGTGAAAGTGGGGCTCCAGCATGTACGAGTGCCATTCATACCAGTGTTAATGGTATGCTGGGCAGCAGAGATAGTAAATGGTTGCTGGGTGGGGCGCTGTTGTTGCTGCTGTTGCCCCAGCTGAGTGGGACTTGATGAAGAGCGAGTGCCCTGCAGTGTTTGTGCTGGTCGGGACTGTGTGCACCCAGGCTCACGCTGGTAAGTCGCCTTGGACGGTTGACCTTTGAAGGGGGGGCTATGTAGCAACCAGCTTCTGAATGATGCTGGCCTCTAGGCCTCAGTTAAAAGGATATGGTATGTATTTATTGTGTTGTTCAGTGTCAGGGAGTAGGTTTAGTTAGTGTAGGTTGGTACTCAATGTGTGGGTGAAGTGTATAGTTAGTGGTGACCTACCCTGCAGGTTCGTGTTTCTGCCCTGGTCTTTAATAATGCTCACTTCTTATGGTGTCAACATGCTCTCCCCCATGTCTTACTCTACATCGATGCAATAATATTGTGTTTGCCCTCGACCTCCCACCACCCCGCTTATCATCGTCATTGTTATTTGACTCACTAGGATAAAGTCAAAGGCTAGTTCTGTTTTTCCAGGCAGCAATATCACCTTAAAATTTAGCGTACAACCAGGCTAAAAGACCCTCCACAAGAAGCTATTTCAAATAGAAGCCTATTGTTTCACTCCAGAAAATCCTAACAGATGTGTTTTGGAATACGTTGTGAAACTCCCTATTAAACCTGCACACCACCTAATTATAAAAGAACTAAATATCTTTTTGCTGTAGTGTAATATCAAGACCACATAAAGCATATGTGTGAATGTGTGTGAGAGTTTGAACCTTGTGGTTTCAGTCTGTAGAAGATCAGTGCTGATGCTCCAATCAGCAGCAGAGTCACACAGACACACACAGTGATGATGACAGAGGAACCTGGACCTGGAAACACACAGAGACAGGAACAGAAAGAGGGTGAAAGGCACAGCATAACATTCTTAACATTCATGTTTATACATATACAATGGTTTAAAAGTGTGTTGCCATATTTATATATTTGTTTGTTTTATGTAGTACTGTGCAAATGGTTTAGGCACCTGAGAAAGGTATATTTAAAAAGCTATTTATCTGGGCACAGCGCATAGGGCTGTCACCTCACAGCACAAAGGGCCTCGGTTCGATTCCCCGGCCGGGCGACCGGGTCCTTTCTGTGTGGATTTGCATGTTCTCCTCATGTCTGCTTGGGTTTCCTCCCACAGTCCAAAGACATGCGGTCAGGCCAATTGTTGATACTAAATTGCCCCTAGGTGTGTGTGACTGTGTTTCTGCCTTGTGATGGGCTGGTGACCTCTCCAGGGTGTTACCTGTTTCCTGCTTTCCGCTGAGTGAGCAATGGGATAGGCTCCAGCTCCCCCCACAACCCAGGAGGATAAGTGGCTTAGATGATGTGAGAGTGAAATTGCATAGGACTTACAAGTTAGGATCAAGGTTTTGATCAGTAAACCTTTAAATGGTAATGTGTCATCTTCAGTGATAAGTGCTAATATGAGTCCATCCATTTATATAATAGTGGAATAACCATAACCATACTGAATACAGTCGTGCATTTCCTGAAGAAAATGCAGAGTAATCGTGAAGCTTAAGCAGTTCACAGGCAGTTGCTAGGTTGTTGCTGGATAGTTAGCAGTTGCTAACGTGTTGCCAAAAGGTTACAATGGTACTTTAGGTGAAGTGTTGATAAGTGGTTGCTATGGTATCCTAGGTGGTTGCTAGGGTACTGCTAGGTGGTTGCCATGGTACCCAGGTGATTGCTAGGGTGCTGCTATGCGGTTGCTATGGTTCCACCAGAGCAATAAATTATGGAACATATAAAACCACCTGTATGTGCCTATGTCTGAACAGAGCTCTGTCCTTCTCTTTCTCACTTCTATCTTGCTCAAACACAGACAACCACAAACCCTCCACTGTTAATTTTGCCCCCCTGCTCCAATTTCCTTTGTCATTTTGCATCTGGTGGTTTCATTTTTAATCACTCTGTCACTCTGTTAAGTCAAAGACAAAAGTTTGAACACGAATCTTATGAAATGCTCACATCAGACCTGTTCTCCTAATTTTCAAATTTCATTAAATTCTTAAATTTTATATCACTTTAAATTTTGTATCATTTTTTAAGACACTTTCTAAAACTACTTTTTTTCCTTTTTTTTACAGTCTATTAAACACAGTATTTTCAAGGCTTCCCAGGTGACATAACTATGCAAACATCTGCTCAGTCATCAGTGGCGCTTATAGGACTCAAACTCTACTAATGTACAGGAAGTTAGATATTTGCACCTCTCTGGACCCACAAAAGAAAATTATGAGTGAAATATTTTCATGCTTTCCATGGTTGGAAGTCAAAGAGAATTTGTTGACCTAACTTGGATGCAGTACTGAGTTAGAAGACCTTTCAAATAAACTAAATTCATATAACTTTAAACAGTTTTGTGGCTGGTTGCAAAGTTTTTTACCTTTTTACTGTTTACCTTTTGAAACATGCAGACGCACTTCAGTGTAGAGGGAATACCCACAGCTTTCCTCCCCACACCAGTACGTCCCAGAATCCTCCTCTCTCAGATCTGTGATGGTCACAGTGAAGACTCCAGCAGGGGCATCATCACTCAGAGAGAATCTGCCAGTTCTGTTTTTCTCTGATGAAACTTTGACTCCACCTTTCTCACAGCTGGACAGCTGCTGCCCCATGCAGAGGAATTTCCCATCACTCTCTGTAGACTCTCCTCTGTAGCTGCACTTGATGGAGACATTGAGTGTTTCTCGTTCAAAGACCTGAAGCACTAAAAACAAATGAAACAATATATAACCTTCCATACATTTCATATTAAGACTTGACCACACAAAATCAAGACCCCCATGTACCACCTTCTTTCCTGACGACCTGCAGTTTAGTGGAGAGATAATTCATCAAGATGTCTCCTGTTTCCACTCCACACCAGTATCTCCCAGCATCTTCTGCTGTCACTGTGCTGATATTCGCACTAAAGACCCCAGCCGTGATGTCATCATGTACAGAGAATCTCTCTGTCTTGTTTTGAGTCGACCGTTGAGCAATTAGAGAATCACTGTGTTCAGTAAAACACTCGTCTTTACAAACATGCTTTGAATTTTGCTTATACTTTGAGTCATAAGGACATCTGATCTCAACAGCATCTCCTTCATGTCCGATCACATTGCTGGCTGAAATCAGGGAGATGAAAGAGATCATATTTGTTTGCTATATCAATTAAAATGTATTAGATCAAAAAGGCTTATTAACTTACAGATAATACTGATTTGCACTTTTGTGGTCAGGGAAGTGTGACTAATATTCCATTCTCTGTTCTCTACTCCACACCAGTACACTCCAGCATCACTGAGGGTCAGATTGCTGATGGTCACTGTGAAGAGTCCTGGTTGGCTGTGGTCAGATAACGAATATTTCCCTGCAGCTCTGATGTCTTGGCAGATGAGATTCTCATCCTCTTTGCAGAAGTGCTTTAGATTGGCTCTGAGTATCGGTGGGTGTTCACAGCTGATTGTGAGAGTTTCATCAATATAACCAGCCTGCGAGATAATCTTCACACAACAAGGATCTGAAGAAATATTAGTTCAAATATCACATCACAAAGATTTTCATGTGGACACAGTTGTAAGAGACAATTTCTTACCTTCCTTCACTTCCACTTTCACTTCTGTGTACTGCTCAGTAAACTCTGATACGTCCACTCCACACCTGTAGGTCCCTTCTGACAGATTTCTGAAGAACACCATTAAGGACTCTCCACTGGTGTCGTCATACAGAGAAAATCCTCCATTCTGCTGCCATTCATTCTGGACATTGGTGTATGTCTTCTCTGTACATTCCCCTTCCATTTCCCTACAGAGGAATCTGGCTTTAGGCTTTTCCAGAGGGTGTCGACACTTCATCATGACGCGTCCTCCTAAGAAGCCAGTCACTCTAACTGAACTCGGAAATTTATCTGTCAAGTTAAACGCAAGTTAGATATTCACACTTAATGGCACTTAGAATCTCATCAGTCAGTAGGAAGTGTGTAATTTTAAGTTCATGATGTTTGGTATATTTGAAGTCTGTATGTAATACAGTAATACTCTTTTTTCGTTTTAAGGTTGTGGTTGGAAAAAGAATGGTTAAAATCTTGACACGCCCAGGGGAAAATTGTTCAGTCAGTATTTCCACTTGGTATCTAGTTAGATACAGCTAAGCTAGCCCTTTCACTGGTTTGCACTTCAGGAGAAGGACTGAAGGCCTTGCAGTTTAGATTAACTACAAACATAATTAAGAAGAGATAGAGGGATCGACCAATAAAAAAGTATGAGAACTTCTAGAAGTTCTAGATTTATCTTATCTACTGTCATAGTCTGTTACCGCAAGTTTTGACTTTGAACTGAAGGCCCAGCACGGATAGTCAAAGTTCTCCACTGCTAATAGATGAGTTTATGTTTCTCACCAGTAACTTGTAGATGTACAGTTTTGATTGTAGAGATGAGTACAGTTGGATAAGCCCAGGTCTGTGTGCCACAGAAATAAACCCCACCATCCTCTTCTTTCAAATCACGGATGTTCACAGTGATAAGGTTTAAATGTTGATCATCAGTGATGTAAAAATAATTTTTCTTGTAGTTTCCACCAGGAGAAGTATAAATCACCACATCAAGTGAGTGACCTTTCAGTTTGTACAAATACTTCCTTTTTCCCTTATGCTCCTTTGTATAGTCACAGCTGATGCTGATCTCCTTGTTCAGATGTCCAGTCATTGTCACTGACTTCACACAACAATCATCTGTCATTCATAAAAATAGAAAAATGGGACAATTAGCAAAATATTGAAGTATATGGTTACTCTTTGATTTGAGTCATTTTTTTCACCTTCATGGACTTGCAGTTTGATTTCCTGAGGCCACCAATTCTCCCATGCAAATCTGTATATTCCAGCATCTCGTGGGTTCAGCTTTCTAAGTAACATTGTGAAATATTCTTGAGTATTTTCATACAGTGAAAAACTTCCTTCATTAACAGTGTCTGCTTGAGCACTAAAATACATTTCCTTTTTGCATCCATCTTCTGCCAACTTGCAAAAATACTTCAGTTGGTTCAGGCTTTGGAAGCTGACCATGATGAGACTACCCCCAGAGTAGCCAATCACATCAGTGCTGCTCACTAGCCCTGCCAGTAAAAACAAATTCTCGGTAAATTCAATAAGCTTAGAAAACGAGGACTAATTGAAAACTGGACTAATTGGTTCAATAAAGAATATTCAGTTAAAATAGATGACTGACCTGTGATCAGATAGAAGGTGATGATGATCTTCATTCTGAACTGCACTTCAGCTTAACTGATGCTGTTCGAGTTGTCGTTGTTTAACTAAAATGAAAATAATGTACTTCCTTCTCTCTCTCTCTCTCTCTCTCTCTCTCTCTCTCTCTCTCTCTCTCTCTCTCTGTGGCTTGTTCCTCTTTCTCTTTGTCAGCCTTTAACAGATGTTCATCCTTATGCGACACCCCTGCCGTCAATCAGTGTTTCAATCAAGTTTCCAATGTTCGAGTGAACATCTGAGGCTTGCTGTCACCTGCGTTTTATGGACTAGGCTTCAACTCTGCATGTACTTTTGCTCTTCAAAACTAAACATGCTGCATTTTAGCGACACATAAAGTGGTCACACCAGAGACGTGGGCAGAAATACAGTTTTGGGCAGGCCAGTAAAAAAGTGGGTAGACCCAACTTCCAAATGTGCTACATCCTGCTATGTCATAACATCAGGCTGGTGATTATTGCTAACAGCAGTGAAGTCATTACCCTACCTCTCCCAATGCTTCCACCCTATGGTGATGCAAACCAAACAGAATACGGGCTTCACACAAGCACAGCCAACACTTCATTAAGCAACAGCAGCCTCCACTGTAAAGCATTCATCCATTTACCTCTGGTACAATTTAAGTCTAGTGAAGTTTACATGATTGCACTGAAATCAGTCAGACAGCTGAGACGGACAAAGACGAGGAAAAACAACATGGGAAACTTAAAAAAACCTAAACATAGCCATCCTTGGTAAAGTATACTGACATTGCGGGTATCAAAATTATGTATATCTTACCTTTGATGACTTGATGCGTTTAAGTAAACATTTGCTTTGATATAATGACACAGTGCAAATTAGCTATTGTAGCTTAGCTAGAACATTGAGAGTACCATATTTACAGAGCACTGATGGGAATGACATTATGAAAATTTGGGCTTTGGATGGGCAGAAAATGACATCTACTTTATCAGGGACAGGATCTATCCTTTTATTGCAGCTGGTGCTTGAAATTCAAACACTAGCACACTAATAACAAACTGATGCCATGTCTGAAATGGTTCCCTAATTGCTATAACCTACAGTCAAAAGTCTGAAGACCAGGGGTGTCCAGCTGTGATCCTGGAGGATCACTGTTTAGCACCTTTGGATGATTTCCCTCTTCAACCAGTCCTGTTTCATCTCTCCAGCTATATAGCAGATTTGGTAGGTGTGTATGAGCAGGGAAATCTCAAACTGTGTTGGACTGGAGTTAGTTTAGACTGATGCTTGATGAAGGGAGGGTAATCAAACTTTTGATTAACACCATTTGTTTATCTTCAGAACAAATGCTAAAACTGACATTAGCATATCTATCTTAACCATACATAGTTGTGTTACATCAAGCAAGGACCTTTTTCAGCACCTTTTTAAATTAGTAGAGACTCTGGGCTCTCAAGAGGCGCAAACGTCTACACTGCACAAAATAATATCTTGGTAAGTGAACTAATCTTAAATCTACTCAATGTATGTAACATCATTCATTCTGAGATTGTTGTAAGAATATTATGAAAAATATTCTTGCGATGAGCAAAATTATCTGCCAGTATAGTGAGGTAATTTGGTACAGAGTAGTGTTGAAGTAATGAGATTACTTTTTACCGGAAGTAATAAGTAATGTAATTCCATTTGAGTAATTACTAACTTGAACTGATCACTTTTTTGAGTAATAACACTGGAGCTACACTATATTGCCAAAAGTATTCAGTCACCCATCCAAATCATTGAATTCAGGTGTTCCAGTCACGTGATTGGGAACAACAGCAGCTCAGCCACGAAGTGGTAGGCCACTTAACATGACATAGGTCGCCAACTTTCTGAAGAGTCAATCACTATAGACCTTCAAACTTCATGTGGCCTTCAGATTAGCTCAAGAATAGCATAGAGAGCTTCATGGAATGGGTTTCCATGGCTAAGCAGCAGCATCCAAGCCTTACATCACCAAGTGCAATGCAAAGCGTCGAATGCAGTGGTGTAAAGCGCCACCACTGGATTCTAGAGCAGTGGAGACATGTTCTCTGGAGTGACCAATCACGCTTCTCTGTCTGGCAATCCGAGGGACGAGTCTGGGTTTGGCGGTTGCCCGGAGAACGGTACTTGTCTGATTGTTTGATTGTGCCAAGTGTGAAGTTTAGTGGAGGGGGGATTATGGTGTGGGGTTGTTTTTCAGGAGTTGGGCTCGGCCCCTTAGTTCCAGTGAAAGGAACTCTTAATGCTTCAGCAGACAAAGAGATTTCGGACAATTTCATGCTCCCAACTTTGTGGGAACAGTTTGGGGACGGCCCCATCCTGTTCCAACATGACTGCACACCACTGCACAAAGCAAGGTCGATAAAGACATGGATGAGCGGGTTTGGTGTAGAACTTGACTAGCCTGCACAGAGTCCTGACCTCAACCCTTTGGGATGAATTAGAGTGAAGACTGCAAGCCAGGCTAACAGCACAGACACAAAACAGTATAAGTGGATACAGTTTAACACTACTGTGCAGTGCGCCGGCCGCATCAGTCACGTCAGACCCTCTTAGGACAGGCAGCTGCTCAGCTCAGGGAAAGAGAGGGGGAGGGGGAAAGAGGGGGGGATAGGAGGGAGGGGGGGATAAGAGGGACATAGTTAGGAAAACAAATTAACCAAAGGCTCGACTAAACAGGTAAGTTTTTAGCCTAGACTTAAAGATGGAGGCTGCGTCTGAGTCCCGAACACAGACTGGTAGGCTATTCCAAAGCTGGGGGGCTTGGTATGAAAAGGCTCCTCCCCCTGACGTAACTTTATTAATTCTAGGTACTAATAATGAACAGCACCTTGTGATCTAAGTGGGCGTGTCGGTTGATAATAGGAAATAAGGTCACTGAGGTACTGAGAAGCAAGGCCATTCAAAGCTTTATACGTCAGTAGAAGAATTTTGTACTCAATGCGGAATTTAACTGGCAACCAATGTAAGGTACACATAATTGGGCTAATGTGATCAAATGTCCTGGTTTTGCTGAGAACTCTGGCTGCAGCGTTCTGGACTAACTGAAGCTTGTTAAGGTTTTGACTGGAGCAACCAGAAAGCAGAGCGTTACAGTAATCTAACCTGGATGTGATAAAGGCGTGAACTAACATTTCTGCATCCTGTAGTGACAGTGCATTTCTTAATTAAGCGATGTTACGATGGTGGAGGAAAGCTATTCTGGTAATATTGGTAATATGCTCATCAAAGGCCAGACTGGGATCAATCGTGACACCAAAGCTTTTTACAGATGTGCCTGGTGCAATTGAGAAATTATCAAGATTAAGAGTAAACGTAGGCAGATTATCCCTAGCAGCTTTTGGACCAAGAAGAAGAACTTCTGTTTTGTCCTCACAAATGCGCTTCTGGAAGAATGGTCAAAAATTCCCATAAACACACTCATAAACTTTGTGGAAAGCCTTCCCAGAGGAGATGAAGCTGTTAGATAGCTGCAAAGGGTGGGCCGACATCATATTAAACCCTATGGATTAAGAATGGAATGTCACTCAAGTTCATATGCGTGTGATGGCAGACGAACGAGTACTTTTGGAAATATAGTGTATGTACACTGTAAAAAGTGTTTCATAGTTCAATCTAAAAAATATTACTTCATGTGGTAACACTGAAGTAACTCGTTTTATTCAATCTAAATAAATACTTTGAATAAATTATTCTTTTAATCAGAGTAATTTGTTGAGTTTAGTAAAACTATTTCAGTTGCTTGCTACCGCATGACTTTTTTTTTTAGGTCCGTAACTTCAAAACACTTTTTACAGTGTATACCAACATTAATATTACGTATGGTCTGCTGCGTCTGTGCAGAGTTCTGTTTTGACTGAAAAAACAAAGGGATCATTCCATTTATTGTAGATAAAGATATATTCAAAACCTGTATAATCCATATGAAAAAATAATTGCCCGCTAAACCTAATACCTGGTTGTGCCACCCTTGGCAGTAACAACTGCAATCAAACATTTTCAGTAGTTTACAATGAGTCATTTACATCACTGTGGAGGAATGTTGGTCCACTCTTCTTTGTAGAATTGTTATAATCTGGCTACATTGGAGGGTTTTCATGCATGAACTGCCTGTTTAAGGTTTTGCTAAAGCATCTCAATGGGATTCAAGTCAGGACTTTGAATCAGCCACTCCAAAACCTTAATTGTGTTTCTTTTGAGCCATTCAGAGGTGGACTTGCTTGTGTGCTTCGGATCACTGTCTTGCTATAAGACCCAACTGCACTTGAGGTTTAGGTCACAAACTAATGGGCGGATTTTCTGACAGAGAACAGAATTCATGGATCCATTAATTATCATCCAGTTCCTGCAGAAGCAAAGCAGACCCAAACCACCACACTACCACCACCATGTTTGACTGTTGGAATGATGTTCTTATAGTGGAATGTGGTGTTATCTTTACGCCAGATGTTAGGGGACCCATGCCTTCCAAAAAAATCCACCATTGACTCATCAGTCCACAGATTATTGTCCCAAAAGTTTTGGGTCATCTCGATGTTTTTCAGCAAATGTGAGACAAGACTTTGTGTTCTTTTTGGTCAGCAGTGGTTTGTGCCTTGCGACTCTCCCACATATGCCATTTTTGCCCATTATCTTTCTTATGGTAGAATCGTGTGCATTGACCTAAACTGAGGCAAGTGAGGCCTGCAGTTCATTAACTGCTTGTCTGGGTTCATCTGTGCCCTCATGAAAGAGTTGTCAATGCACTCTTTTTGAAATTTTGATAGGCTGGCCACTCCTGGGAAGGTTCACCACTGTTCCTAGTTTTTTCCATTTGTGGTTAATGACTCTCACTGTGGTTCACTGGAGTCCCAGATCCTTAGCAATGGCTTTGTAACCCTTTCCAGACCGTTAGATTTCAGTAACTTTGTTTTGCATCTGTGTTTGAATTTCTTTAAAATGTGGCATCATGTGCTGCTTTTTGAGACCTTGTCTTTGAGACCTGTTTGTGTGACAGCAATAAAAAGAATGTTAAAGTTTCCGTATTTGTAGAATAACTGATCTGAGATTAAGAATATGGTGAAGATGAGGA